TCACTTGAACCTAGGAGTTTTAGACTAGCCTGAGCAAAATAGAAATACTCCCATCGCAAAAATGAAAACAAAAACAAAACTAGATCCAACTCCTACAGAGATATTGAACTGAATCTACATACTATTAACACTGTAAATAGACAGACGTACACACACACACACACCCGTCCCTACCTTATGTCTCACAAAAATCTGTCATGATATATATATAGATATAGATATAGATATAGATATAGGTATATAGATATACAGATATATATATATATATATATATATATAGAGAGAGAGAGAGAGAGAGAGAGATCTCCTATTTTACTGATGAAAACACTGAGCTGCAGAGAGGTCAAATAGCCTAAGCAAATTATTAAGCTAGTTAATAAGTTATTAGCCAGATAGTAACTGGCTAAATCAAGAAGAGAGCCCAAGTCTACCAATTTCAAATTCCCGCCCTTTTCTGCTAAATACATCACACTATCTGTCAACAATTTCCTTTTTCCCTAATGAGCCCTGTGGTGGATTGACAACTGCTGGTCAACTTGTAACACCCAGCTGAACTGAATCAGCATGATGCTGGGTATGGAGGACCCATCTGAGGACTGTTGCCAACAAAATAAAAAGGAAAACTGGAGAAAAAGAAGAGAAGCTGTTGGGAGCTGTTGATTCCCCTGGAGGAGCTTGTCATGCTGACTTTTCTGACATGAACTTGGCTGTTCTCATTGTTGAAGGAGCTTGGGACCTTACTGTCACTGAGAATGGCTATGGTTCACTTTGGGGGAGCTCTGGCCCTTACTTTGAGCATTGCTTCCTGGCTCCAGTGCAAATCCCTCAGCCTGCTGGCACAGTTCCTTCATCCTGCTGGCACAGACTTTTTAGCTTCCACCACTGACCTTTGGGCTTCCAGCGCAAATCCATGAAACAGGCCTGCATGAGACACTGTCATGGGCTCTTGGCCTCCAGTTGGGCTTGTGGTGGGCACTGTCATGGCTCTAGGTCTTTCGCTGGACTCATGTAAGACATTGCCATGGAATCCAGGCCCTCAGCTGGATTCTTTGGTCTTTAGTGTGTGGACAGATTTCCTCCACTCCCTTTGTATATGACTCTGGTTGACTATTATAGAATAAGCCTATAAATTATGTGTCCTGTATTGTTTCCCTTGCAAACCCTGACTACAACACACCCACACACAATTTACAGCAGAGCAGAATACAGAAGTGTTTCCTTAGAGTTCACTCATATATTCTTGTACACCACGGAGTCCTGCAGCTTCCCACTTCTTTTCTAATCTCATATTAATTTAACTGCATTTCTGGTAATAACAAATGTAGAGCTTAGTGTTATGTGGACTTAGAGCTCCTATTCTTTCCTTGTAAAGATTTCCTTTGAGTACAGGCTTTTACAACTTTTGTGATGCACTCTGCTTCTGACAAATTGCCTCACATTCTAAAATAGTATTTTTAAATTGAAAAATAAACATTACTCTTCAGTACCCACAGAAAAGTACATATTCATTTTAAAATTTTATCATGCCTGTTCTTGGGGCCAAAGCCAAACCAAAAAAAAGAAGGGCAAGTAAAGGAAATAAAGATTGGAAGGAGCACAGAGGAAGTCATTGGAAGAGAAAGGGCAAAGCATTGTTAGTGTCATCGTCAGAGATGGTAATTACCCAGAATGGTAGCAGGTATAGTGTCACAGAGATATCAGTGAGCCATGTGTATGAAATAAGCAGTGAAACCATGAATAGGAACAGAAATAAGAGGGCAGAACAGTCTGCTGTCATAAGTTCTGTAGGTGGGCTTTTTTAGGAAGTGGGAAAACACTCTGGGAGTAGCAAAAAAGGCATAAGGAGAATATCTATTCCAGCTCTAGACCTAGATGTAAGAGGAGCATGAGAAAGAAAGTACGGTAGTCATTACTTGCATGGTTTGCAGGGGAAGCAAGGTCTTTCCAGATTTCACTCAGAAAACATAAAGCATTTGAGAAACCAATATACTTTGACATATAAATTCATGCTACCTCATTTTAAAAAAACAACACTTACTAAGGATAACAGAACTTAGCAGGGAGCAGAAAATAGTCCATGTCTACCAGGTAATAATTATGAGTATCTTTTACCTCCTACATAGCATCAATCATCCATTACTGAAAATCAGTTATTTTACATGAAATGTTAACTTATTTTCCAATATTTAGAATTCAAAAATTATAATTCACTTATGTCAACTCAAAATGGGGCTGTGGTTTTAGTCCCAGGTTCAATTCCCAGCATAAAAAGATTAAGCAAGTTCTTAAAGTATACTGAAATATAGTCAAGCACCTATAAAAAAGGAATAAACTCCGAGGGTAGGATATAAAATATTTAAAATACCACTCCCTGACCAAAAACAATTTCTATGGTTGTTATCAGCAGCTGTACGTGGTAATATATTATACATCCTCTTCACTGACATTGGTACAACATTTAAATTGCTTACATGTGATTACAGCATTCCACCAAGTATAACTAAAACTTAATACAGGCTTCCTACAGCTCATTTTGCCTAAAATGTAGTATAGGGCTTTACTGGAATACAAATACAGATTTTTTTCTTATCTAATAATCTGCCAAAATACATTTAATTGAATAGTAAGTAATCTGGGGTATTTGAATGTTAAACAGCAAGAGGCTTTCTAATAGGAAAAACATTAGTTGTGAAGTCATTCTTTGGACTTCATACTGTATTACATTTGCTGAGTTGGACTGAATTGCAGCTTTCGTGTGTAAAATTAGGCACATTAACTATACCTTCTAAACATCAGAATTATGATATTCAACACAGGAAAATAAGTTCTTGAGGAAGTTTCTGTGAAGATTACATGAGCTGAATTAAGCAGTTAGTAAATGCCCTAGAATATAATGCTTAATAATTACTATTTTGTTATGAAGTGATATCTGTCCCTATTATTTTTATTAATAAAAATAAAATTGCAGCTTACAAAGATTTACACATACATTATCTTGTTGGATCTTTAAGACTAACAACTATGTACAAGAAAGACATTTTACAAATAAAAAGTCAAATGCTTAAAAGAAATAACTTGCCTAAAGTTACTTAACATTACCGCCACGACTGGATATAAATCACCACATAAAACAAGAGTAGACAAACTTTTTCTTAAAAGACCAAACTGAAAATATTGTAGGCTTGCAGGCCATACAGACTGTTGCAACTAGTTAATTTGCTCTTATAGCTCAAAAGCAGCCATAGACAATGCAAAAACAAATGAGTGGGGCTTTATTCCAGTAAAACTTTATTTATGAAAACAAGCGGTGGTATGCTCTTGCCTCAGGGTCACGATTAGTAGACTTCTGCCCTAGACATTTAGATTACTATTCCAAAGTACTTGTCTACTACCTGGTGCTTACTACCTATTTTCAGGATAATGTTTCAGCTTTAAACTTTTTAGTAACCTTAACTGTCAGGGAAAAGAGAAAGCAGAAACAATTTGTAAAAGAACTATGAAAATGGTAAGATATCACATAAATATTATTGTTACTGTTTTTCTCTCCTCCAGCTTCTAAAACTTTTAATTTTTTCTTTATTTTTCTCCTTTACCTAGGCAGTTGCCCTAGAAGTAAACACTTTCCCATGTCTCCAAAAGTACAGAAAGGACATTTAATGAAATAGCAGAATAAACAAATTTGTCAGTATCTTGTTTTTTAAAGTAGTAGAAACGTGGAACTTCTGAGTATAACTAGGATGGTTTTTGGTGTTTGTTTGTTCATTTTTTGTTTTTTGATACTGGAAATTGAACTGAAGGCCTTTGTACAAGGATAAGTTGCCAGTCTTTTTTTTTTTTTTTTAATTTTGAGCCAGAATCTTGCTAAGTCACTTAAATTGCTCAGACTGGGCTCAAAATTTCAATCCTCCCATCTCAGCCTCCCAGAGTGCTGGGATTGCAGGCATGTACTACCTTGCTCAGCACTTTTTTTTTTTTTTTTTTTGGTAGAGGGAGGGGAGTGGGTGGTGGATGCAATGGTAGGCAACTACTACATTACTGACCTTAAAGAACATGATAATCAGGCTGAAGCATGAGGGTCACAAGTTTGAAGCTAGCCTGTACTACATAGTGAGACCCTGTATCAAAAAAACAATCTCATTTAAGCCAACAATAGTTCTTTAAAGTTAAACCAAAGTTTTTGAGTGATACATGCCAGGAATTTTACAAAAATATAATTCATTTAATCTTCACAACAACCCTAAAAAGAAACCGAGTCAGTGAAATGAGGCACAGACCCCCTAAGTGGCAGCAGAACTTGGGTTCATATCCAAGTTACACTGATTCTAAAGTTTTTGTTCTTTTCATTACATAATATTGTCTCTTAATCTGTTTAAACCAGGGTCCACAAAAAGCTTAGTGTCTTATTCCAAGTTAGAGAATAATTACTTTCAGTGTAATAGAAGTCAAACCTCAGATAATATGGCATGGTTCTGCTAGATTAAGTCACCTCCAAATAACATACTATTTTAAACGTAATTTAATCTGTTTCTGGCCTCAAAATGCACTGGTAACTAGAGTGAAGCCAGTCAATTTACCACTAGTTTAAGAAAATAAATATGACCAAGTTTAAGCCATAGATATCCAAATCTAGAATTTTGATAAGAGAAAAAAAAAATCAAGGAACAGTCTCCCTAAAATCCACTCATGTTTTAATACGAAACAGCATTTTATTAGAAATGCCTGAAAGTTAGCCCTGGCAGACACTCAATCCCTTCCTCTTAATTTTTTTCCATAAAATTTAGAGAAATGTTCACAACACAAAATTTGTATATTTGCAATAGAGTAAATAAAGAAATTAGAAGCCTTTTAATCCTCATATTAAGTATGACATACAAAGTCAGGGAATAAAAGTAGACAATATTTTATAAATCTACGGCCCTCCTCCCCCTTTGTTTAAAAGGGCTAGTCTTAAGACATGAATCTGGTCTTTTTCCTTGCTTTTTCTACCCTCTGCTGCTTACCTGTTGCAGAGTTTATTGAGGGCTCCCTGTGGACTACAATGACATGGCAGGCAGAGCCCAGAAGTGTGATTCAAGTAAAAGCCCTCCTTGCAGGTTTCGCAGTGCAGACCTTCATAACCTTGCTGACACTCACACTGCCCCGTGGTCTGGTTGCAGTGCTTCACATCCAGGCTTCCAACCTTAGAGCAGTTACATACATACTCTGAAAAAGAAAAAAGGAAAGACATATCATCAATTAGGATTAAATGTTTCAACAAATGAACAATTTGACTTTTCTTAATAATGTTTATTGCAAATTGATATGGCTAGATAAAACTATTTCTAATTTACTGCCTATACTGTTTATTTAAATCAGGAGATGTTACAGTACACAATATTGTATACAGTTCATAATTATAAAGCTGACATTCTCAATTTCTTTCCTGCTATTCTTCATCTCCTCTAGCTCTCACCCTACATCCCAGAGTGTGTAACTGTATAATTACTAGTTTTTCTGGACTGGAGGCCCACGAAGGCAAGTGTATCACCATGGCACTGAAAGTGCATGCTGGAAATGACAATGTATAAAATAATCCCACTTTACAGGAATGAAGGCCTAAGGCTCACATGATGGATCGGGTAACCTATACAAGGTCATACATGAATCACCACAGGTAGAATCATAAGCCAGTATGTTAAATGTAGGAAGAAAGTAATAGAGAATTGAAACTTTAAAGTTAAGAAATGACAAACAATAAATCCAAAGGGGAAAGATTATAGGTTCATCCTGATTAGTAAGTAAAAACCAATCATAATTTGAATGTCTTTTCCAAATTAAAAGATTTAGAAAATAGACATTCTTTAGGTATATATTTTTTTCAAACTGATTTGTTTTTAATAAAGTATTATGGTCACACACAAATCTGTGCTCATGTTGTACCTTCCCCACTTTGATCCTTCTCATGAGCTGACAGGAAGCACCACTACCAATCACACATACAACAGTAGTTTCAGTCTTGTGTTTTTAAATAGCTATTTAAATACTATACTGAATAATAACTCAGTCTGACCCAAAGAATTCAAAAGTAAAGTCTAACTTGCTATTATATCATGCTAACTTTTAAAAGGATCTGAACTTATAGATCAACTCTAAAATGTGAAAAATGTTAAATAGTCTTTATTTGGTATTATATATACACCACTCTTGTCTTTACTCCCTTTAATAGGCTAATAAACACAAACTGAAACAGGGGAGTCTTGCTTTGTTTTGAGACAATGAAGGATTTCCCCACTATTTAAGCATATTCACACAACCAGTTATATAAATCTAAATATAAAACCAACCTTCAGTAGGTTTTGAGATGACATTCTCAATCTTTGTGAAAAGGACAGCTGAGCTGCACCTCGGACAGCTTCAGGAATGCTGGTGAGCTGCTGCCACCCCCACATACAAGCTTGGGATCAGGCAGAAACCCGGACAGCTTCAAGGACCTGGGGTCCACTCCCCACCCCTCCCCTTCTTCCGCCCTTCCCCTGTGGGAGCTGAGCTGTACCTCAGACAGCTTTGAGAACTCCAGTGAGCCAGCCCCACCTCTGCACCATCAGCTTGGGAGCCTAGGGGAGCCCCAGACAACCTCAAGGGCCTTGGGTGCTCCTCCGTGCCCCCACTCTGCACCCTCAGGGGAGCTAAGCTGAAATTCAGACAGCTTCAGGGGCCTCAGTGACTGTGCATTTATCCCCCTACTAGCGTGGGAACCACGCGGGGTAGTGGCAGTGTATGGAGACATGATGACCATGATCCACCCACAGTTACACCCCAGTGGAAACAGGGCTAAAACCTGGACAGCTTTGGGAACCCCTGAGTGGGAGCCAAGCTGAGCCACAGACAGCTGTGGAAGCACTGGGGATTGCACCCTGCCTGCACACACACACACACACCATTGAGGGAGTCACACCAAGCACCGGGGACCTTTGGGTCCTTGCCCCGCTACAAAGACATCATCCTGGGAGAGAGGCTGAACTCCAGGGAAACTCTGTATCTCTGAAAATCACAAAACGAAAGAGCAAAATGCAATCTCAGACTCTACCCCACCCCGAACAAGTCCAGGAGATATCAACACAGACTAGCTTGGAAGTTATACACCTGAAATTTCTGAAATGATAGCAGCTGAAGTAAAGAAACAACTCCATCAGGCCATAGAAGACAGATCAGGAATAATCTCTGAGGTAAAAAAA